TTCGCCAGGAACCGTTCGCCGGCGAACCGTTCGGTACATCACTAATGAAGGTGTATCACTTCTAGCCGGGGTGCTAGGAAGAGGTGATTCTTACCATCTTTTGAGAAATACTTAAATAACAATAAAGATTGCAATTATATATTTGTACCCAGGGGTCTTGTACCGGCTTGCTAGCTAAGCCGTAAGGCGAAACGATTAGGCTTGGTGTTTTTTGGTGACTGGTGAGGCCCTGCTAGTTGCCAAGTGGCTTGAGAGGCTCTATCTATGCTTGGCGCGAGGGGATTTTGTGTGGCCACCGAACGTTGTGGCAGGATGTTGGCCTCTCGGTGACAGTAACCAGAAAAATAGGAAGGGGAGTGACAGGTGAGGCCCTCTCTATGATACAATGCGAGGCGGCTAGCTCACGAGTGGCCCGAGGGGTGTATGCCTCCGAGTGTGAGGCGGGGTGTTGGCCTCGCGGGACCACTAACCGAAGCATAATGCAGAGAAAAAAGGGGGTAATACCTATTGGGCCCTAGAACCCTAATTGCCGGTACACTATTACTATTCCAGGGAAGGTAAGAGATGGATAACTACGTGAGCAGGTGTACGTACCTGGTAGTATGGTATTGAACCTGACAATCCTGTATAGGTTTTTTAGTAGTAACTGTAACCTGAATGGATAAAATCGTATGGCATAAGGAAATATGGCATAGACCAAGCTTATCTTAAAACATACAGTATATGTGAAAGTAAAGTGCCGTGATATGTAAATATTAAACATCATATCCATACTGGTTAAATATGTATCAATCTTAACCCATTAAGTGCCGTATGTAAGTGAACCATATTACCAGTTACGTATATACAGATGCGTGTGCTACTGTGTAATAATATGTGTATTTATAACAGATATTGATATACTGCTTGCTATGTGAATTGTTGTATGCCTTATTGAATGGCAAGTGAACATGGAGTTGCAAAATGCAAGTGCACTGGAGATCTGCCGAGTGCCCTATAGGTGGCAGTGTAGTTGATACTGATTTGTATGTGAAATGTTGTTTGTCTGTTGACCTATAGGGGTCAGTGTTTTGGTGTTTGTAAAACCCCATGAAAAACCCCATGAAAATTGTCAATGTACTTGACAGACCTGTAGGCGGCAGTGTTGATAGAACCACTGTTAGTCTTAATGTGAAATGTAAATTATTGTGAATTAAACCTGAAGTTGAGCCTGTGTTGGAGTTTAATTCATGGTTTATGGTCATGTTTAACACAATCTTATGTGTAATTTATATTGGCTGGTAATTGTATATGACATGTGAAGACAGTTTTGCTGTTGACCAGTAGGGGTCAGAAATGCTAATTGTATGGTAAAATACCCTTTAACCCGTGAAGGATACATGACATGTGAGACATATCATGATTCCCTTTTATTCCAGAGTTTGGTCCTTAAGGGGTTAATCCAAATGCAAGGTTAACGTGAGATTTTGAGAGTGACCTGTAGGGGTCAGTGTAGTTTATGTGAAACATTGTTTGTGAGCTATGCCCCAGCATTATAGTTGTGTGACAGGGAAACAAACAGTGCCCGTTTGACAATATACAATAAGTGAACATAATAGCTAAATAACAGTCATTGTAACAAACCAAAGTTCTGTTCATGGTTGTAAACGCACGAAGCGTGTGTGTAGTACAATAGTAAATGCATGAACTAGTACCCGTTTGGTAGAAAATTGCACGAACCGTGAGCCAGTATGTCAGCGAAACAAAACGAAACGAGCAGTGAGATTTGAAATGCACGCACAGAATTGCCTAGTATGTTTAGGCAATTGAAACAGCATGTGTTCCCGTTTGGGAGTATGCTAATGCTCGAAATGAGCCAGTGACAGATATAAACAAGTGAATTTAAACGAATGATATGCATGAACATCCAATGGTTTTAGGACAGATTTAGACAAAATGCAGCCGTAAAGTGAGGACCTGACCCGTGCATGGTGCCGTGGGACTGATGCCTGGCGTAACGGGTAGGTCGACTTACGGTTTGTGAGTCACTTGGACACCATCCACAGCGATAGATTGAAGAAAGAAGGTGGTAGGCCGGAAAAGCCTGTGGCTGAATTCCTGACACAGCTCAGCTTAGAAAACCTCATGGAGTAATCAGGTAAAATGGCGTCTGGATGACCCGGAAGTGGAAATCATTCTGATGCTGACCTCAAGAGATATGAGTCAGGTAAGGGGTGTCCCTTATATAGGGGAGTGAATTAATTTAAGCCCCTCCCACAAATACAGGCCAAATGGCCTTAAAACATATATAATTTTTTTTAATTATTAAAAATTATTTTTACTTTTTGTTATTTATTTTTATTAACATATTATTTATAATTTATAATAATATATATACAATATATATATAGTTATTATATATATTGTATATATACGTGTGTAATTTAAATTAAAAGTGTATTTTTATATTAATATACGTATATATAAATATAAAAATACACTTAGTATGACATTATATATATGATATATATACATATATTATATATAGATATAATACATGTATATATCATATATATATATATATATATAGAAACTATACAATTTCTGGCACTCTTCCCAAATAATAATACATACCAGGTGCTTCTCTGTGCAAAATACTATAAACAAAGCAAAAAATGAGAGCACTCCATGGATTTGGTAAATCAAATTACTGTATTCAAATAGCACAAAAAAAATCGACGTTTCGACCGTCTAGCGGTCTTTATCAAGATGCTGTCATATACAAAAACCTCAAATATATACATAAACGCTTGTTAAACTTACCCAATCACCAAGTGCTCCCTGTGTGTCCAATCTGCCATATGAGTGAAGCCGCAAATTGTGGATCGTTATGTTAATTGCCGTAAAGTGACGTGTGGTGAAATCACCATGTGTTGCCTAGAGACGGCAAAGCTGTTTAAAAACCAAATGTCGGCAGAGATTTAAAATCAATACGGAGGATAAATAAAATTATATGTTGCATATGTGTTTTCATAAATGTCTAAGCAACTGCCTAACTGATCGTAGGATACTAGAGTGAGCCAGGAATGGCTAGAAACGATTGCTCATATAGGGACTCAGTTAGAAAGACTGGTGTATTGGTAACTGTGGACCTGTGTAGCCTAATAGAGCTAACTCAAATACTACCTAACTCCTTATTAAATTGGGAACCCTAGCTGGGAAAGCCATGTGTGTTGCCAAATCACAAACCTAAACAATAAGAACAGGCATCAATTACAGAAAACAGGCTGGCTTAGCATAATGTGAGTTGTCAGTATATAACAGAGAGTGTGTGTGATGTTGACCCTTTATCTACTGGGGTCCATTTATAGTGTAGAGTGATCAGCATGTGTGTGATGAAATAAATAAACACAGGGAATATTAAATGGTGAGTGACAAATCAGTATGTGTGAATTCCAAACTAGTAAAAAATAAAGCAAGAATGGGAAAATCCTGTACTAAATCAATCTACGGTATGTATGTGAGACACTGTAGAAAAGAGTGTGTGTGTGCTACTAAGATCATTCTCCGGTGTGTGTGTGTGTGTGAAATGATGTAGTAAAAAATGTGAGTATACTGCCTGACCTCTAGAAATGAGACAATCAATGAAGAGTGAAAAAGACTGTGCAGCTGAAACATGCACTAAAAGTGTAATGAGCCCTCGTGAATAATGAGAATGCACTGTCAGAAAGGTAAGAATGCAATAAAAAAAAATAAAAAAAATATATATATATATATATAAATAAATAAATAAATAAAATGAAATAAAAAATATATACAAAATACAATAAAATAAAAATAAATATCAAAATAAATAAAAAACATATAATAAAAATAAAAATAAAAATACAAAAAATAAAAATAAAAATAGTAAAAATAAACAATAAAGAGAAAATAAACAATAAAAAATGTAACAGTGATCCTACTAACTATATGCCAGTGCAGCCTCCAAGATCGGCATGCTAGGTAATGGAAAAGAGAAAAATTAGGTAAAAGGAGAGAGGGTCCTACTATAAGAACCTTATATCACTGGGTATTTATCAAAAAGCCAAAAGTGCCTAGATGTATGTACTATCCCCAATCACCAATTGGGAGTCCACAACCCTTTCTTGCAGCTCTGTATTGTAACTCCCACCGGCAGGAAATCAGATGGAAATAATTCACAATGTCCTCTTTATTATGGGATGGTCATTAAATCCTGAGTCAAAATCTCGCATCCAAGTCATTTACTGCTCAGCGATATCAACGGATATCCAAAAAACAACTAAATGAGTTGTATTCGTTTAATCCTTTCGGTTGGACCGTATCCAGATGTGTGATCCAAAAGGTTTCCCTTTGTAAAAGTAACTTTGATCTGTCGCCTCCTCTTGTGAGCGGTGGGATGTGGTCTATCATAATGAACTTAAGCGTGGGTAAATGGTGTTGGAAATCTAGGAAGTGTTTTGCCACAGGTTTATCAGTCTTCCCATCCCGGTACGCCGTCATGATTCCTGATCTGTGACCACGAATACGGTCCCTTACTGTAAGGTCTGTTTTACCCACATAATATTTCCCACATGGGCATGAAATGAGGTATACTACATGGTCACTCATGCAGGTTAGTCGATGTTTGATCTGGATTCTTTTGCCTGTGTGGGGATGTGCAAAGGAAGAGCCTGTCAGCATGTGTCCACAGGTGACGCAACCTGAACACTTGAAACAGCCTTTCTTGGTATGCAATGTTCGTGTATTATATTGGCTCGGTATATCTGTTTTTACTAAAATGTCCTTCAAGTTTCTGTTGCGTGAATATGCGACCCTTGGTTTCTGTAAAAAAAACGGATTAAGTGTTCTGTCGCTGGATAAGATGTCCCATCTCCCTTTAATCCTGTGGGAAAATCTCTGGCTCTCCGTGTGGTATGATAAAGGGATCGTAATTCTGGGCAGATTTTGAAGTTGTTTAGTAGATATGCCCCTGTATATATTTTCTGCTTTTATTTTACATTCTTGGAGCACTTTATATGTGTATCCTCGTTCCACAAAGGATCTGGTCATGTCCTCTAGTTGAGTTTTACATGTGCTTTCCTCCGAGTTATTCCTGTACACTCTTAAGTATTGCGAAATAGGTAAAGACTCCTTTAGGGCTTTGGGATGAGCGCTGTTGGCGTGTAGCAGCGTGTTGCGGTCTGAGGGTTTTCTAAATAATCGATGTCCAATGTTTCGATCCTTCCGGAATATCTCCACATCCAAGAATTGGATTTTATCTGGGCTGTACGTCAAAGTAAATTTAATGGTGGAGTTTAAATTGTTCAGTTCTTCAATCATCTTCTCCAATTCTGTTGCCGTGCCTTACCAATACACCAGTCTTTCTAACTGAGTCCCTATATGAGCAATCGTTTCTAGCCATTCCTGGCTCACTCTAGTATCCTACGATCAGTTAGGCAGTTGCTTAGACATTTATGAAAACACATATGCAACATATAATTTTATTTATCCTCCGTATTGATTTTAAATCTCTGCCGACATTTGGTTTTTAAACAGCTGTGCCGTCTCTAGGCAACACATGGTGATTTCACCACACGTCACTTTACGGCAATTAACATAACGATCCACAATTTGCGGCTTCACTCATATGGCAGATTGGACACACAGGGAGCACTTGGTGATTGGGTAAGTTTAACAAGCGTTTATGTATATATTTGAGGTTTTTGTATATGACAGCATCTTGATAAAGACCGCTAGACGGTCGAAACGTCGATTTTTTTTGTGCTATTTGAATACAGTAATTTGATTTACCAAATCCATGGAGTGCTCTCATTTTTTGCTTTGTGTGTATATATATATATATATATATATATATATATATATATATATATATATATATATATATATATATATATATATATATATATATATATATATATATATATATATATATATACACATATATTTTTTTTTTACACTGATTGCTTTATTTTTTTAACTTTATTTTTGACTTTCCACTTGCAGGGAGACTGCCTGTCAGCACAGAAAGTCCCCCTGCAGGCAGATACACAGACACCTATTGCGGTCATGTGATCGAGTGATCACGTGGCCGCGGGGTCCTGATCTGTCGAGGGGAGACTGCCTGGGCAGACAGGTAGACTCCTGGACCGGGAGGAGCGCTGATCGCCACCTGGGGACCGGCGGTGATCAGGTAAGTAGCCCCAGACCGTTATGACGGTTCAGGACCGTCATTGGTCCCCAAGGAGATTTTTCCAATGACAGTCCTGAACTGTCATCGGTCGTTAAGGGGTTAAGTCAACTGTTTGCTGTAAAAACTTTTTTCTTTCTCTTGGTTTCAATTGCACAGATCCTGGTTCTAAAGTATGTCACTGTGTCTTAAAAAATATAAAAGTTGTATCAAAAGAGAAGAGGTAAAATAATAGGTACAAGCAAAATTTAATATAGTATTAGCAAGAAGCAGCACTTGAGACCTAGCTATTTCAAATGCTTAATTAGAAGTGAGAATTCAGCATGAAAACAGGTAGGTTTGTAAAGCCCAAAGATATGTGATGTTGTACTGCTTTGTCAAATACAGAAATGCAACAACTATGAATTTTTTGGACACACAACAAAAATAACCTTTTATGACATTATAGCACATTTACATTGTATCACATTTAAAGCTGCAGGACCACCAAGTTTAAATGTCTTTGGGATGAAACCAGACAGGTCATCTCTCTGACACATTTGAGGCTGCAGAGTAACTGTATGTAAAGCAAATCTTGAAAGTGGAGGGATGACATAATGGATAGGCATCAGTTCTGTTCCATTTTTGGAAATTAACTAATACTAGGGTAAATTAAAAACAAACAAACTATAAATCAGGCTAACAGTATTGTAGAGCTATATAATATATAAAAATATATCTTAGTTTACAAAAAATGATCAAACATCTCAGTCTATCCCTCACTAATGACTGGATGTAGCTCATCAAATTCTCCTTCATCACTCCAGGTAGAACATAACTAAATCGTTTCTGGCTTGCTGAAACTATAAGCAAGTGGTAAACTCATAATTGCTAGTAGCAGGGGTCCTCCTATTACGGTTCCATTAGCCATGACCCAATTCAGAGAAAGGAAAATCTTTCTTGCTTAGTACTATCAATGGGCCGGTTTACCCGTACTATATACAATGCAAGTGCATCAGCCTTAGTCAGTCTTGATAGAAAAATTCAAGAGCCTACACCAGTGTCTAAATTATTCATTATATGATACTGTGTTACATATTATCCATTGTGTATGCTAGTGCACTACAACAACTATTTATGCAAATAATGCAAAATATGGATTTAAAATTGGTATTGGCTGTAAATTTTTTGTTTAATTTTTACATTATATTAAATTGAACATACATTTTTTTAAGGACAACCCAACCACACATTTATAAGTAATGCATTGTATAGGCTAGATGAGTGGTATATTTTGTTTTATAAATGCAAAAATCAAAATGCACACCATAGTAGCTACAAATACAGTCAATACTTTATTAACACAATATTGAGAAATTGAGCAAGTTAAGCATACAATAAATCCAAAAAACAAAAGACACAATTAAAAAAGCTAAACACTGTGTAAAAATAGTAATACTGTTACCATCAATGGACTTCCAGGACAGGACACTTCCAGGGCAGAACACAAGCCACTAAACAATATGGCACACTAGCAAAGATTCCCTTAAGAAAGGCATCCAGTAGTGTGCCATGCCATTGGGTGTTTAGTGTGTTGTGTCCTTCCCTGGTAGACTATAGATGGTAACTGTACTAGTAACTGTACTAGTATTTTTGTACAGTTTCTGGCTTTTTTAATTGTCTTAGTTTTTGGATTTATTGCATATTCAGTTTCTTATGAGATAGACATTTTTTCCAAAAAAACAAAAACAAAAGGCAACTTTTACTATAAATGAAAGAATTACAATATCCATAAATTCAACAAAGCTGTAAGTTCCCAGAGTCTCAACTCTTGGAGACTTGATAAACCACCATAGCAGGAAATCATCAACGCATATTACAATGTACTGTCTTGACTCAGATAGTCTAATTATGTTGTCTATTGAACCAGTTCTCTCCAATATATCTGCTTTTCTACACTGGACACTATAAGCACCAAAGCAACTTTAGTTTAATTGAGTGCTTTTGGTGTATAGATCATGCCTCTTCAGTCTAATGTCTCATTTTGCTGCAATATAGGAGATAAAGGGACATTATACTCACCAAAGTCATTATAGCATAATGTAGTGGCTCTGGTGTCTATAGCCTATACTTGCAGGCTGACTTATGAAAACACTACCTTTTCAGAGAAAAGACAATGTTTATATTGCTGCCTAGTAACACCTCTAGTGGCAGTCACTCAGACTGCCACAAGAGGAAAATCATATATCAATGCTGCACTGTGTTCATCACCTATATTCAGCATCTCCATGCTCTGCATGGAGATGCTGAAGACCCTCCTTCCCTCTATCTGCTCCCCCTGCTCCCCCCCTGCTCCATAGACCACTATATTCTGTTTTTATTTTCATCCTATATACTGGTCAATATTTACTGCCAAATAGCTCTCTGTTACCTATGTCATAATGTCTTTCTGCTGGGGATAGCTTTTTAGGAAAGAAGCCACATGGGTGCAGGGGTTTGTCATGACTTTCTCTCTGGGACAGTAGAGCACCAACCCCTGTTTCAGAGGCATCTACTTCTAATATGAAAGATCTGCTGGGATCAGGATGAGTAAGTATAGGGGCTGAAGCAAATGAAGCCTTGGGTTGTTCAAAGGCATTAATGGCTTCTCTTGGCCATAATGTACCTTTAACCGCCTTATGTGTCAAATTGGTGATTGAGGCTATTATCGTAGAAAAGTTTTTAATAAATCTACGATAATAATTGGAAAACCTGATGGACCTTTGGATAGCCTTTAAACTATGAGGTAGAGGCCATTGGAACACTGCCGCTAGTTTCTTGGGATCCATCCTGAATCCTGAGGAAGATATTGTATGGCCAAGAAATTGTACATTTTTCTGATCATTTTTCACTTGTGCATGGTGAATGTCTTTCTCAGGTGAGTATATCGGTATATCATCTAGATATACTAACATGAAGAAATAAATAAAATCTCTCAATTCATCATTGATGAGATCCTGGAAAACAGCGGAGGCATTAGATAACCCAAAACGCATGACTAGGTATTCGTAATGCCCATTATGGGTATTAAACGCTGTTTTCCATTCATGTCCTTCCTTGATTCTAACTAGATTGTAAGCACTCCTTAAATCTAGTTTAGTAAACTAGCCCCTTTTAACCTGTCAAAAAGTTCTGAAATAAGTGGTATAGGGTAAGCGTTCAACAAAAACCTTGCTCCTGCTGGGGAAGAGGATCTCCATATATGACCCTTAGTTAACGCATCCTGTATATATTCCTCCATGATTTTACTTTCCAGAGGAGACAGGGTATAAACTCTCCCTTTCGGGGGTATAGTACCTGGTAATAGAGTTATCGGACAATCATAAGATCTATACGGAGATATATGGCATGTACTTTATTAAACACCTCCATTACCTCCCCATATTGGAAGGGAACCATAGTGGATAATGGAGAGGCAGTAGGAACATTGATTGTACTTAATTCTTTAGTTATAGGTTTTAAACATCTGTTACAACATCCCTCACCTCACTTTAGTATCTCCCCTTTCCTCCAGTCTATACGTGGATCATGTTTGATTAGCCATGGAAAATCAAGTACAATGGGACAAGAGGGTGAGGAGATAAATTAAAAAGTTATTTTTTTCCCTTATGCAAGGCCCCTACTTGCAATGAAACAGGTAAGGTCTCATGGGTAATGAGTGGATTCTTAAGAGGTCTACCATCTATCGCTTCAACAGCCAAAGTTGTTGACTCTTCCTAAGAGATATTTTGTGTATGGACACAAAGTTAGCATCAATAAAGCTTTCTGCTGCTCTTGAGTCTAATAAGGCTTTGCAATTGACCTCAAGGTTGTGTAACGGAATGGTAACAGAAAGCAGAAATCTTGAAAGAAGCATAGTGGGGGACATATACATAACACCTAAGGCCGATCCCTGATTGGTACTTAGGTGTGAGAGTTTTCCGGACAAATCGGGCAATTTACTCTCATATGTCCCTTCTTGCCACAATACATACACAGACCCTCACTCCTCCTGAATTGTCTCTCTGCTTCAGATAAACTCATAACTCACAACTGCATAGGTTCAGGTTCAGCAGCTACAACAGGAGGTTTTGGAACAACAGGGTTGGAGAGGCGGGGAGCTAGAAAAGTGCTG